TTAAAATTATTATTTATAGGTTTTGATACCAGATTTTTATACGGGTTTTTCTATTTCTTTAATTTGGTATCAGAGCTTGAAACTTAATAGACCACTTAGAAATAATAATTTTAAGTATAAAAATCTGGTATCAAAGCTTAAAAATAATAATTTTAAGTATAAAAGCTATTTTTATAACAAATATAAATTTGAGGACTAAAAGATAAAAAAATATAGTTAGAGGACTAACTGTTCTCTAATAGAATATGAAATTTTCCGTTATCTTTGACCAAGTAGACGAAATTGAAATGAATATGAAAGTTAATAGACCACTTAGAAATAAAACATAGCCTATAAACAAATGATATCAAGGTGATAGTTAATAGACTAAAAATTGAATTAAACCGTTTTTTAACTTTATAGTTTTGATTCATCAAGTGAGAGGAATGTGGCTGAATGGGTTCTCAAACCAAATAGCCCAAAATTGGAATTTATATTTGGATTTTTGCATATCTAAAAAATTTTTAACATGTTAGAAGTTTGGAATTGCTTTCTCTAGTACAATTGAAATTTGACTTATTTTATGTTTGTTTTTCGGGTAATTAAAGTTATTTTCATTGTGATAATGTGGGAGACAAAGAGAAGGATATGTTGGAGAAGAGAGAGAAGTGAATGATTAATTAAGTGTGGGTCTCATTGTATTTAATTTAATTTAATAAAAAAATTACGATAATTATACATTAAAGAGATAATTAAGGTAAGATAATAATTGAAGTAGCAATGTAGCATTAGTAGACTCACACTTTTGAAGTGAGTGGATAAAATAATAATTAGAATTAGTATTAATTAATTACTATCAAACTTTATAAAGAAAAGTCATACATGGAAAAAAAAATTATCCATCTTCTCAATAATAAAATGAATTCAAAATTTTCATGTAATATTTTAAGTTTAAAATTTTGTATATATCTATCAAAAAAAAAATTTTTTTTTTGTATTATAAAATCACTTAACCGTCCATATCAACATTTAACTAATGGAAGGATCAAGTTGTTAATAGAAAATTAAAGTTTAAGGATGATTTTGGTAATTTTTTAAGCTTAAGGATCAACTTTGTCTAAAAATTAAAGTTTAGGGACCAAAATGAAATTTAACCCAATGAGAAATACGAAAACGAAGGAGTCAAGTCAAGCTCAGGTCCCTAGCCTCCAAGCAATTATTGTTGGGTACTCGTTGTTGGTCCCACATGGCCTTTGTTGGCAAAACATGCAGATCACCCCCTTAACTCATCCACTGGTGGCAAATCACCCCCTCAACCCACTTCACGCGCAAACAAACCCCTCAACTCACCTGCAGTGGCAAATCACCCCCTGTTGTAACGCCGACATCATTCTTCCGTTAATTCTTAACGGTCCATTCCCCCCACCCCTCCTCTGCGTCTGATGTGGCATTTTTTTGCTGAGATGGATGCTGAAATGGAGGCGTCACCTAAATAATACTCCAAAATCATCAGATCAAGCAAATAGAATGAAAATTTGAGGTCAAAATTTAAAATTAATAATGTAATGTAAGTTATATTATTTTAAATA